AAAACACGTGTTTTGTCACTTTTTTTTGCATTATCGTTTTTCAGTGGTTTGTAGCTTTTTTCAGTGTTTGCATTTTATAGCATTGGAGGCTCAAAAATGCTCGTAAACAGTGGATAGCTGCATTTATGAGCATTTTGCTGCGTTTTTCAGAGTTGGAACTAAAAACCTCCTCTTGAGACCCACTAGTTCTGGGTTTTTTTTCCAGCCAGAAAACGCCCCTGCCAAAAAAAACGCTGATTAAAGCCTATGTGTGCATGGATACATAGGATCATGGGCGGACTGACAACTCCATGGGGCCCCCAGGCAATAGGTGATCATGGGGCCCCTGTGTCCTTGCCCAAATTCAAAAAAGCCTATGAAAAAGGTACCAAGGGCATCTCATGGGGCCCCCTACTGACCCCAGGCCCTCGGGCAGTGCCTAAGTTTTCAAATGGTCAGTCCGCCCCTGCATAGGACAACATTCTGGGGAGTTTACTGACTGTAGAAAAAAAAGCCAAAAACAGGCAGCTGTAAAAATGCTCAGTGTGCATGAGGCCTCATAATTATGAAATCACTCGTATTCACATATTGCACATGGACACAGACAAAAAAACAGCTATTTCTTCAGAATAACAAAAGGTAGGAATTTGCAACATAGTTTGGTAAATTCCTTGCAATGTACATTGCAAACAAAAGTGGAATTACTCTTTAAATATAATAAACACTATGAGTCACAAATCACAAGAGTCAAAAACACTGTGATACACACTACTAAATACCCTGACAATAATTGTGAGTAAAGTGGATGACCAAAGTCCCTTGATTTCCTGAGACAGTGGGTTTGACTTACTAAAGGTAAATAGGCTGTTTACATTGCAAGGGTATTTTCCCCAGCGGTTAGTAATGTGGTAGAGTTTCACTCTGCAAAAAAATACCTAATCACATGCAAGGAAAAAAAAATAAACAACATTTTTGCTTGCACATGATTGGATGATAGGAGTCAGCAGAGCTTCACTAAGCTCTGGAAAAGACTATCTTGCAAAGTGCAACTTCCTTTGCAAAGTGAACAGCCTATTTTGCTTTTAGTAAATCAACCCCAGTGTCTGTGACAGAAGATCTGTCCCACATTGATAAATGTTTCTGGTCCTTAGGAAATAAATGACACATGACATTTATGTATAAATACTGATGCAAAATAGGGGGGTAGCCTATCACACCTCCTTTCTCAGCCATGGACCCAATGCTTTAAGCAGGGTATACATGGACTGAAAATCTCCGGTTCAGCATGAACCAGCCAAATTTTCATCTATGTTTTCCACTGTATGTTCAACAGAAGCCACTTTAATGCTGGAAAACCAGCATTCAATCTGCAGTTGCAGCCAATGGCTGCAGTGCTGATCTGTGTATTCTGATGGGTGGAGTCTATCAGAATACAAAGACACAGAGGAAGAGATTCCTGCATCAGCATCATTGTGTTGATGTGGGGATCTGTGAGTTTTTTTGGGGGGTTTTTTTTTGTTCAACTTGCTGGTTAAAAGAAAAAAAAAACTCAGTGGGGTTTATTTACTAAATCTAGAGACTGCAAAATCTGGTGCAGCTCTGCATAGAAACCAATCAGCTTCCATTTTACACATAAGGAAAAGGGTACTTGGTGCACTCGGGGGAGGTTGGAGTAGCCGCTGCAGCAATAAAATACAATATAAGTCTTTATATAAAGAAGGGAGGGGGGGAGGAGAAAAAAGGGTCATGAAGTCCCAAGATCAGTCTGTAATTGTGGATTGCTGGGCTTGGAAGCTGCCTGCATGCGAAGGGCTAGAAGGGACTCTGTATGGAAACAGTGAATAGAAAAGGTGGCATATAAATACAATTTATTAAGGGTAAAAGTGGAGCAACTCACAAGATTGCAATATAACAGCGCCTGAAGACGGAGCACGCATGCTCCAAATGTGCGCCAACTGCCGCTGTTCACATGGCCGGAAGTGACGTCCGCCTCATTTCTCTGGTGTACCCGAGTCCATAGGAAGCACTGGGAGCCACCAGTGCCTCCGAGAGACATCCCAGTTACACCCAGCATTGGGGTCCACTACACCAGGAACTGCAGCGGATGATCTGTTTTGTGACAAGCGCTGTTATATTGCAGTCTTGTGATTGGCTCCACTTTTACCCTTAATAAATGATATTTCTATGCTGCACTTAGATGGTGCCACCTTTTCTCTTTACTGTTTCCATTGTACACATACTTTTTCATAAGGCCTTATGGATCCTCTCTCCACTGTATTGTGCCACAAGTCAAATTGATTATTTTTGTATTGCACATTTCCCTGGTAATGGTAAAGTGGCAAGTTTGGTTTACTTTGGAAAGACTTTCAATATTGTTATTTGCGTAACAGTTTGGCCCTATGGAACATACAAGCAATGTACAGCATATTGGCAATACAACAAAAACATATAGCTACATAGGGGTTGATTTACTAAAGGCAAATAGACTGTTCACTTTGTAAGGGAATTACCCCCAGAGATTAGTTAGGTGAAGATGTGCCAAATTATGCTATTCATGTCCAAGCAAACATGCTATTTTTTTTTATTTCCCTTGTATATGATGGGGTATTCTTTGCAAAGTGAAATTTTAACAACATTCACAAAGTCCTGGGGAAAATTCCCTTGCAAAGTGAGTCAACCATATAGTGTTTGGTTAAAAAAGTGAAAATGATAGCTTAGCATTGTATGGGTTTGGTTGATTATTAATAACAACATATAGCAGCAGTGCTAGCTCTGATTATCCTGTGATAATGTAACAATTATTTTTACATTATCACAGGATAATCAGAGCTAGCGCTGCTGCTATTTGTTGTTATTGATTTTGGGTGCTTCTTTGCTCTTTATTGGCAGCTGCTTCACTGATTATATTTTCTGTGGCTCAGTTCATGGGTATTTTAATTGGTTGATTATTAGGTTCAGTGACCTAGTGAGCAGTGCAAATATTGCTTTATGGTATGTGTGGTATGTATCTGAGGTCTGACTTGTGTACGTGTCCTGAGTTTGGCAAATCTTAGGACACGGTGTGACAGAGTTTTGATAGATCAGTGTGTACAGCACTACATGGTACAGTGTATTGCTCCCCTACAGTAAGAATTTCATACTAATTCATCTATAGGCAGACTCACTCTAACAGTAAGAACTTGTTTACATGACCTTTGTTCTCTGAAGAGTGATGGTGGATCTCTTTTAAGAGAATGCTTGACAGGCTTTTGAGGAGGTGTTATGTAAGCTCCTCAATGCCTGTTTTAACCACTTCCATACCAGGCACTTTTACCCCCTTCCTGCCCAGGCCAATTTTCAGGTTTCAGACTTTGAATGACAATTGCGCGGTCATACAACACTGTACTCAAACTAAAATTGTATCATTTTCTTCACACAACTAGAGCTTTCTTTTGGTGGTATTTAATCACCACTGGGGTTTTTATTTTTTGCTAAATTAACAAAAAAAGACTGAAAATTATGAAAAAAAACACGTTTTTCTTTGTTTCTGTTCTAAAAGTTTGCAAATAAATAATTGTTCTTCATAAATTTAGGCCAAGATGTATTCTGCTACATTTCTTTGGTGAAAATAACCCAAATCAGTATTTATTATTTAGTCTGTAGGAACACTATAGAGTTCACAAACTATGGGATATATCTGATCATTTATCAATTCTGAAGTAGTGACAGCCAATCTAATTTCTTGAGGTCCAAGAATGTCAGAACAGTACAGATATCCCCCAAATGACCCCTTTTTGCAAAGTAGACAGTTTGACGTATTTCATAACAGGCATGGCAAGTTTTTTGAAGTTGTAATTTTTTGTCATAATTTTTCGGAAAATTAAGAAATTAAAAAAATGATTTTCACTTTTTTTTTAACATACTGTCACCAGTGCAGTACAGCATCATCATATAACTGGCATGGCGGTGATCAGGGACACTGACTGGTGACAGTACGAAGGAAAAAAAAAAAAAAAATAGTAGTTTTACCACCCCATGCCTGCCCATCCACAATGTGAAATACAGGAGGCTGTTTGAATGCTGAGTCTGTAGCCTTGCAAATTTAGCATGCCATGGTGAGTTGACAGGCAACACTACCTATCAAACGTGGACATTCATAAACTACCACTTGGCAAAAAAAACCCCAAAAACAAACATTTAGGAGGTGGCAGGACCGTTTGCTGTACTTTAAAAAATTGATCACTTATCAGAGTACAGGCTAGTGTGAACCTAGCCTAAGTGTTGAAATGTTGAATCCAGGCAAGGCAGATTCTATCTGCACATAGCACAGCTAAAGCAGATCCTATTAGTGTTGTATGTATATCCATGGCTGGGGCAAATTCCCTAAAAATCTATAGCAGATCATTATCCAGGATAAGGCTGTCTTATGAATTAAAAGGGGGCTCAGATGCAAAAAAAAACCCCAAAATGCTTGGAATCCCCATGCACCCCCCCACACCCTTTCAAAGCACATTTTCCCCACAATCCCGTCCCAATGGTTGTGTGAGTTTGTGGAGGGGAGACTTATCAGAAGCTCCTCTAAAATAGGGGCACCCCCAGAGATCTGCTTCTTCCCTCCATATAGTACCCCTGGTTACTCATTCACAAAAAAATGTACAATGTAAATAAACACACAAATACATCTAAATATATATACTATATATTGATACCCTCTGACTTGTACACTATTTGAAGCTGCCTCCAAAGGAATAACCTGTGGCTCCTACTCGAACAGCTAGAATTCAAGTTAAACCTTCAATGACCCAAAGCTCATTCTTAGTTGCAGATATCTGTAGATCCATCCACATTTCATTATATTGAAGTTTAGAGGGACTGATGTTATTGCTCTTGATATCCTATCTACCAGTACCTGTGCATAGACACTGCTGTGAGCTTTTTATTGTTCCCTCTCCCATTTCACATTGTTTTAGCAATCCCTACACAGAAGCCATGAAACATTGCGTAAAAATCAACTTTATCCTCTTTCACTTTTAAATACTTTATCCCTTTGATGGAGTTTTATTTTTTGTAAATTTTTTTATTAGGTTTTAGTACATTACAAGGTAAAGAAATGGTCTAACGTCAGACCAGATACATGGTAACAAGCAGGGGTAGACTGACAAATCATGGGGCCCCCGGGCAATAGGGGATCATGGGGCCCCTGTGTCCTTGCCCAAACTCAAAAAAGCTTATGAAAAAGGTACCAGGGGCATCTCATGGGGCCCCCCTACTGACCCCAGGCCCTCGGGCAGTGCCCAAGTTTCCAAATGGTCAGTCCGCCCCTGGTAACAAGTAACAATGTCAAGGTCCAAGTAACATGTGTGGTCAAATATTTTTAAATAAAAAGCATAGAAGAGTAGAAAACAAAACACAAATATCAGTTACATATAGTGACATAGCACAGGCAGTCAACTGCAGGGGCAATGAGTACTCCATAGTAAAAGCAATGGTGCATCATCATGTATTAACATACCAACACATAGACAGACTTTTGAAGGTAAAGTTGATTGCCACCTTGCTATGATGTGTTCTTGATATCAATTAAAGTGGTTTTAAAGGCAGAAGGTTTTTTAAAACTGTCTGTGTGCAACTCCCCCCCCCCCCCCAAAAATCTCTCTGCAACTCCCCCCCCCCCCCCCCAGATCTCTCTGCTCTCTCCCTCCACACAGAACAAAGAGCCAACTGTAGGAGCCATTGGCTGTTCCTGCTGCCAATAACATTCTGGAAGCGGGGGATGGGGCCATGCTGTCTGTGTCTATGGACACAAGAAGTGCAGCTTGGGATCGGGTCTGCAGGTATGCCACAATAGGAAGCAGCTTCCTGTGGTGGCAAACCAAGAGGAGGCAGGACACTGGCAGGAGACCCCAAGAGAGTTTTTGTTGTTCTGTGCAAAGCCATTGCACAGATCAGGTAAGTACAACTTAATTATTATTTTAAAAAATTATCCTGTACAATCATTTTAATGATGCCATATAACACCTATTTCTTGCTGAATCCCTGTGGCTCTCTTCTTCACTAGCAGGAAGGAGTATCACTGTGGGTAAGATAGTTTCTGGTTCTAGGTAGCATCATGCCTGCTTTGTACCTATAGAGTGACAGTAAGGCTGGTAGAAATATACTGCTAGGCCAGCCATAGATGGATCAAATCTCAGCCAGTTCAGCAGGGACTGGCCGAGATTCAATCCATCTATGGGAAGATTAGTTGTATTGAAGTTGATCCATCAATCAACTTGGGTACAACTAGCTGCTCAGATTCTTTACATGTGATTACTACCAATAGCTATAGCCACTAGCAGTAATCATTGTGTTCTGCCACAATGACAGGCTCCCGGACAGCAGAACACTGTGTTGAAAGTGAAATCGATCCATTTTCTTTCTTTCCATTCATGGTCGAAGGACAGAAAATTGCATAATCTATGGCCTGCTTTAGGGATACCTGCACCTCAATGGAGGGTTTTTAATGTGTACCACTTCTATGAAGGTTGTGCTTGTGCTTAGCATCAGTTAGTGTTGTGAGTTAACGTTGAACACTGAAATAGTTCTGGATCAGGAGACCTAAAGTTGGAAAAGATGATACTTTTGCTTTGTATGGTTAGTTGGGGCATCAAAGCTTACTGGCATTTTGTTGGCTATTTGATGCAGCTAATGTACTTCAACGTGATCTTGTACCACTAAATTATAAATATTGACATATGAACTTGTTTTACAACTGCATCTGTGATGTATAAATGTATACCCAACAATTTGCTGCAAAGAAAATAGAACCACTATGAGCACTTACTAACTAATCCTAAAGTTTACTAGTTTGTAATGGGTTTAGTGATTTCGATGTTTATATATATATTTTCTACAGTATAATTAATTTCCTTACATAAGGAGTGCAAGTGCAACATAATAGTTAATATTTTTTTTTCTTATTGAGTGTCAGTAAAGCAGTTTGGAGGAGTCACAAACTCTGTAATTAGTATGCAAATTTGCTTCTATAACTCTTGCAAAGTATCCACTAGACTTGTAGCCATCACATTGTACACTTAATTGGATTCACTGTGTATAAATAAACCAAATTAGGTGTGGTGAGGAAAGACATTGATTGCTTACTGTTGACCAATTATTCTAATGAGTTTATCATATATAAAAGGCATAATAAAGCAGCCCTGTTTTTCAACATATTGATTTAAAATTAAAACAAAACCCTAGAGACATAAACTGGTCCTTGCTATGCTAGCCAACACTTCTAAAAAGTAGATAGGCTATCATATGATCTACCAACTTTTTTACAGTTACAGCAGATTATCTATTTCTGGTATTTACAGTGTATAATGTAAACAATTTACGCAGTGATTTACATATATTGTACATTCAGAACAGTCCCTGCCCTCAAGGAACTTACAGTCTAAGATCTTTAGCTCACATGCAAACACATATTAGGGCAAATTTAGACAGGACCTAATTAACCTACCAGCATATCTTTGGAGTGTGGGTGGAAACCCACGCAAACATGGGGAGAGCATGGAAATTCCATGCAGGTAATGTCAAGGTTGGGATTCAAATAGATGCCCTAGTGCTGTAAGGCAGAAGTGCCAGCCACTAAGCCACTGTGCTGTTGGTGTATGTGACATTTTTCTTTTGCTCCTCATTGAGATTTGTAAAACAGAACTTATCACTTTTATGTCTAAACAAAATTCTGTGGATGCACCAGGGATCCACAAAATGCAGAAGCTTATGCTACAGGTCTTGTGGTTTGAAATCCATGTGGATATTCAAATACTAGCTTTTCCCCATTTGCCTGATATGTCCCAAACTGTAGATCAGGGCATGCCAGTTAGTTAAAGTACAACTAACGGCAAAACTTTGTTTTTTAGTTTTGGATAGCGTGGGGAGGGATTAGAACCCCTGTCAGTTTTTATTGCTGTCTGTGCCCTCATTAGGGAGATTTACCCTTTCTATTTGTCATGTTTACCATTACAATTGAAAGCAAAAGTAAAAGAAAATCCCCATATTTTGAGTAGCCCCCAGAAAAGTAATAGAAGGAAAATATTCCAATGGGGACACTAGTTACTGGTTACCTAAGATGGCAAACATAAACCTTACAGGGGTTATAACCCTCCCTCACTCTATCCAAAATGAAGAAAACAAGTTTTGCCTATAGTTCTACTTTAAGTTCTCTTTTCATGTTAGTGATTGCAACAGCATGATTTCCAAATCCTCCCACCCTGTCAGGCTCCGCCCAACGGGATCTCTAGTGGTCCACAGCACGGGGTTTCCCAGGACGCGGACTCTAAGTCCCAGTCACCAGAGCCCCTGATGGTGGGGATGGACTTGGTGCAAGACCGGAACCAGGTCGCGTCCCTGGGCACCCCCGGCGGTGGCAGAGGGGTCCCGCTGAGGGCATGTGCCCGGGATGAGTCTGCTGTGAAGGGGATGACAGACCCCGATCCGAGCGGGATGGATGGGATGACAGATCCCGATCCAAGCGGGATGGATGGACGACTGCTAGGAGTGAGCGAGGTCAGACTAACCGGGTCGGTATCGTGCGGGCAGCGTGGTACAGGGGGAGCAAGCGGAGAATGGTCGGGGTCACAAGCCAGGTTCAGCAGGTAGCGGGCAGCGTGGTACAGAGGGTCAGGCAGAGGGATGGTCAGGAACGAGCCGGGGTCAGAGCAGGAGAGGGTCAGCGTAATCAGAACAGGCAGAGTTTGGCAACAAGGAAACGTACTAGCAGGGACACAGGAACAGGAACAAGACCTTGCGGCACTTTGGAAATGCACAGGGCAGATTTAAATAGGGCGCCCTGTGTTTCCATTGGTGCGGCCGCGATTGCTACTGTGCATGCGCGGCCGCCGCCGCGATCTCTGTGTTCGCCGGCCAGGAAGAATCGTCGATCTGCGCATGCGCGCGATGCCGAGCGGCCGGGATCCCTGACACACCCACTTTAACAACTTGTCCTGATCTTAATGAGGGTTGTAACTGATGGATTTATTTGTTTTACATGACAATTAATTTAGCATTTAGTGTGGGGGAAATTACCTTTTTAGTTGAGCAGAAGGAATGATGTTCTGCAGTGTTTGGTGTTCAGGATGCAAAAACTATAGTACAGCTTTGAAGATAAAGACCCTAAGAGATATAAGAAACAAGTGTTTGATTTAACCTGTAAGAATATAACCTTCACTGAAATATTAGAGAACAAAATATTATCAAACTAAGATTCATCAAGAAAATTGTTGGTTTGAGATTGATGTACTTTTTCTATAAACATGTACAATTTAATTTAAAGCTTTCAATAGAAAATGAGAAGGTTAAAAAAATCCCTGATTGTTCTGTGTACTGGACATATCATTTATATAAGTCTTTCTCTTGCTTCAAAACAATGGATTTACAATGTTGGACCATCATTGTCCACTCCTCTCCTCCAGAAACTTTGTAAAATGAAAAGTGCTCATCTCCAGATTTTAACTGATGAATGGCTTTTATTTGTTGTCCAATGCCATTTGTTGATTTAGCCTACTGTAAAATAATCACATGGGGACTTATTTTTCATGTCCTTATTTTACTATATTTGTGTTTAATCAATAGCTTGTGTGTACACTACAGTCAATTAATACAATAGTTTTGTTATTTATCAATAAAATACTGTATGTTATGAATAACCAGTGATGTACAAGCTGGGTCATTAATCAAACAACTCTTTAATGCCTTAAAAACAACCTTAAGCATCCCAAACCCCCCCCCCCCCCCAATATATTGAAAAAATTGTTAATGCCTAAAAAGTATAAACTACTGTCAAAATTAAACGTTTTTGAAATACATACATACTGTACATTCAGTAGTTCACTTTTTTTTATCCAGACATCACTGTACTACACCAGTTCACCTCTACTACCTATTGTCTGTCATTTCATAATCGCAGTATGCATCTCCTGGAAGCACTGGAAAACAGTGCAGTCACAACGGGAAAACAGAACAGTCATCACAGGAAGTGAGAGGAAACTGCTCTAAAGTAATGCAACTATTCTGTTAGATGGTAGTCACCAGAACAAACATCTACATCCACTTCCATCCTGGTGATGACTGGAATTTACTTCACTTTTGGTCCATGGACACATACATCAATAGGTTTTAGCCCTTCCCTACCATATCCAGAATGCAAACTTTAATTTGTTGTCTGGAACTTCTCTTTAACCCCTTGGCGCCAGCACCTCCCGGCCCTTTAAGAGTTTCAGAAGCAGGGAGGCAGGGCGGGGTCATGTGACTGCCGTGATTTGCTGTCACGGCGGTCACATAATCAGGAAATGTCCCAAT